CTAGTAGTTTATGAGTTATAAGTATTTAAAGTTTAGACAAGCGGAGTAGTGGACAAACATTTTGCGGGGTAACCCCGTACCACTCCACTCTGCCAATCTATTATATATTATATATATTATATACTATAATATATATGCATTTATTTGAAATAATTTACATAGGTAGAAAGTTATCTTATTAACCGTATCGAATAGTCTGAATATAATAGCGCATTGATATTAAGCCACTGTTGCGTCAAACGAAGTAGGTAGAACCGTTCAATTGAATTGTATACATAATCACAATGTTTGTGTTTGGAATATACAAATTAATGATCAGCAGTTACGTTAATTAACTCGTCAATCAAAGTGTTTCGGAGTAGAGTGGACTGTATATAAATTTTAACTCATGAATAGTACAATGAAATACGGTAGAAGTGGTCGGTAATATTGAATGGAAAAATGCAGAGCCGCATGGGTATGTTAATATGTTATACATTTCTAATGCCAGCTTTACTAATAATTATAATTGCAATTATAAATGTGGGTATAAATAAAGATAAACAAACATTAAATTACCGTAGAGGTCAGTGTATTCCCAGTGTTAAGAGTTTATCCCGTGTATTTAATAAAATAAAATAATAATATGATGGAAGTATCTACAAAATATTGATGGTAAGTTGTTTTGAGTTGAGATTYGTCAAAGTTGGTGATCGAATACTTAACAAARAGTTACTCAATATTGAGTAAACTATATCGTTCACAACTATGCTTAGAGTGGTAAATGATGATAACAATAACTATGATGAAATGTATACATAGCAACAGTCAATAATGTGCACATATAATTATATATTATGTTTATAATTATATTAGGTAGGTGGTAGGTATTTAACTAAGTAATATATTACAAACGTTACACATCTAAATTGTTATTGCGAAAAAAAAAGGCAAAGAACAGTAATTACTCTTTTTACATTGATTAAAGAGAAAAAAAAATACAAGTTAAAGAATTTGAAGAAAAATATATTTTGAAAATAACGAAAATCTATTTTTTCAAAATAATTTATAACAAAAAAGTTAAAGCTGTTTAAAAATAGTAGAAATAGTAAAAAATGTAAATATTATTTTCCGATTTAATGTGCTTTATCTTGTTATCCTCATCCCTTTTTAATTATGCCCCTGTTAGAAGCAGTAATAGCCGATTTGGRTCAAATACCATGACTAATTTTYTATGTAACTTTGTAATCACATAACAACCAACATGAGCATTGATATATAGGACCATTGGACCATATATAAAATTGTAAAATATTTAGAACTGCTATTAAAATATTTTAATTTTTTGTTAATTCATAAAATAAGAAAAGTGAATGAAAAACCGAGCCTTCCTTCGTGGCTTTGATACATATATTTGAATTATGTGATTCAATCGAAATTACAATATTCACCATTTCAGCGCCATTTGTTGGATATTATAATGTTACATTTATTATTTAAAAAATTAATGTCGTTTTAATCGTTCACTCACTAAGCACATCAAACTGAGGCATCCATGGCACAAACATGACATTTTCTGGGCGGACTTCCAGCGGCGGTGGGTCGTCCTCCCATTTCCACAGTACCCTGTAGCCGTCTAGTCGGCCGAACACCCGGAGCATGGCCAGCGACTGGGTTGCTGGTATGGACGAGCCTTTCACTATAGAGCCCATCGAAAAGTAAATGACACCTCGTTTGGCTTCGGYCACGTATCGTTCTAAGTCCTGTTTACATAGATGTTTTTGTGCATGAAAGGTTATTGGATATTGATATATGGTTGGTCCAGTGTTTTAATAATATTATTGATTGTAATGTGGTGCACTTATAATATAGAACAAAAAACCAAATTGGTCCAATTTGTATGTGTATTCTGTATCATAATAATAATATATCATAAAATAATAACTATATACTAAAAAGCTATAGAAAGAGAGCCTGATGTGTAAACAATCAAAAACAATACCAATAGATTTATTTTAGAGTAACAAGGATTTTAAACAATATCACYCTAACATCCTTCCACTACAAACATTCAGACATTCAATGTGAATTTCTTTTAAACGCTAAACTATATTATGAAACGATGTCATCACAGCAAGGGATGCAATACCACTCACAAGGGAGAGGGACGATGTGATAAAATATTTCTAWTATTTTATTTTTAATAATGATCATAATCTTAATTTAATATGTACATTTTAATTTGTTTGTTTCAGTATTTTATAATAATAGACATATACGAAAAAAGATTATTTGTAGAAAGAGAAAAGGGTGTAAATATGTTTGAGCTTGGCTTTCACGAAAAATCTGTATGAATGCTCCGCGTGMAAACTTCGTTTTCGGGTGGTTAGTAGAATAATGTATTTTTGTCGACGTTTCAAATTTATGGTCGGTCAAAAATCATTGAGCTGAAAAACTTCACAGGTAGTATAGATGGCTGGTCGAGTATTTTTAGGTGGGATAAATCTCATTTAAATAGCCGCATTATGGACCAACCACGACATGCTTTATGAGAATGGAAAACAATATATATCAACGCACATATATAATGTATATACAAAGCATTGGACGATGGTCGATGGTCGATGGACAAAAGGATGGACGTAAAGATAAAATGACAGCGCAGAAGAATAAATGTCTCAGGTGCAATTAAAAGTGAAAAATAACAACGGAGTTTTGATGAAAAAAGAAATAAAAGCAACAAAAAAATACGACTCTCGAAAACAAACTCCAGTGAGAGAAATGTGAAGGATTATCGCTAGAGTCTGAAGATTTAAAGGGAAACATAATGAAACCGTTCGAAAGACGATGACAACGACTACTCGTATAATAATTACCCAATTTACAAACGTTGTAATAAACAACTAATATTTATCTAAGTGGTGCTATATTTTTAATCTTAGTATTTTTTAAATTTAAATTTATGATATAGTTCTACGGGTAAGATGAATTATGTAAGTATTAGCATTTGTGCTTAACAATATATATATGTACTATTATTAGTTTTTTAAACGATTGTCGTTATATTGACGACTTAACGTTCTTCATTTTTTGAATTTTAACTCTGTAATAGTGTGTGAAACATTCATGCAATCGTTCAAACTATAAATAATATATCTAACGATTATATTGTTATTTTTAAATGAACTAAAGCATTTATTTCGTATACCTTATGCGAGAGGATTAAGTAAACACTTCCGTTGGATTTGGATAAGATGATCGGAAAACTCGAAGAAATTATTAAATACCCATATAATGATGTTGTTTACGGCCTATTTATCATCTTTATCAAACATGTTACACTCTAACGGACTTAACGTAAACGTTATTGACGATCACCCGATAGAATTACGATTATTATATCATAAGTCATAACAGATTTGTGACATTGCAATAACAGAATATAAAGTCTAGACATTCTAGGCAGACTAATTAGTGTGAATAATTAAACGAATCGCTAATAGCTAAAGTCATAAACATATTATGTTCACAGAAACATCTAGCTATCAGTCCTATCACCTGTAATAATATAATGAAACCATTATTGGATATCCGTAATGATATCGTATATTCTTTTATTTTAACATAGAAATACAAAAATGAATTATGTTATTGATTAAGTAGGTATGGGGCTCAACATTTTTTATTATAATTAATACGTACATGTTAGCATATATTATGCTTTTTAATAATATGTTTCACGATAAGACTATATAATTTGAATACGCACCAGCTTAATTACAAGGGTTTTAAATTATATTTTCACTGCACTACTTTATAAAATGAACACATATAACAAAAGCTATGCGCCTTTTACAATTCACATACTTAATGCAAAAATATGGTATTTTAAATTAATTGCTGCAAAAAATAACTCAAAGTTCCAGTAATAGTATAATATATGCAATAATATAAATAATATTGGAGCGATAAATTAACAAATTTGAAAGTTATATTTCATGTATTGTGATGAATTTAAGGAAGTTATAAGTATTATGATCATTTTACAGATAATATCTGAATCGGTAACACACCTAAAATTATAGGTACTTATGTTTTTTTTCGACATTATTTTTGATTCTGAGCGGAGTGAGGAACGTATTGATTTTTCAATGATGTGTGTGTATTTTTTTTGGGTCTATGTTAGAGTAGTAGAAAAATCCCTTTAACTCTCGTTTTTGAGGGTGGTTTCTGATAAAAAATTGGATTAGGTAGGATCTTTTGAGTAATTAAACTTTAAAATTTCCAGTACTTTCAATATAGGTACTTTATCGAGAAATAAAAATGCGGAAAACCATGAATTTTTATGAAAAACCGGTTCGATTATTCAACGAAATCTACTTTATCATGTATGAACTTGTACTTATGTTAAAAGCTGAATCTAAGAAARCATAAAAACTCCAAGGTTTAAATAATAATAATGCTCTTAAGACCATTGCTATTAATAATTAAGGATTCGTTTTTGCTGACAAATAAATAACAGGGGGTGGAGTGGTCGAGCGGACTAAGGCGTCGGTTGCGACGCACGCAGT